ACGTCAGGTTTGAATGAGCCCACGATGAAGAAACGAGTGGGGGATTGATCTGCAGATGTGAGAGCGACTGCTGAAAAGATTACATTTCACTTGTCTCAGTGAGATAAGAAGGAACTGGTAGAAAAGAAGACAAAAACGGAGCAAAGCAGCAGAAATATTACAAACCTAACACTTTTATTAGGTTTTCAAGATTCATGTTTGGACAAAAAAAAAAGTCTTTCTGCATCTTTTACGTCATTTGAGCAGTCGTCTAATCAGTCCACCATTCTGGTCATCACTTATTTTTTCTATAGTATAACTTTGTTCAGATGGTTTATTTGTGGTCCAACTGTTTTATTCCTAAATTGGATTTAAATCTAAGCCAAAACAACAGCGATGAAATTCAAGCTCTGGCAGGTTTCAGAGCTCCAGCCTCGAGGCATTAAAAAAAACACACACACACACACACACACATTAGAAAAGGACCCTAACGTTAAAGAGAGCTGGATTAATGGTTTATGGATGGATTGAGTTCAGCCGACATGATTGAAAACTGGTCTAGAGAATTTGCTGCTCTGTGTCGCTCAAATCACAACAGCTCCCTCCTCCACCCACCCCCCTCACCCCCGACCCTCCCGCGCTCTGCCCTTCGTCTGTGCCTGGGTGAGTGTAGTGTGAAGCCAGAGGTGGAGGCAGAGGAGAGAAGATGAGCGATCAATAATGATCAAGCGGACAAATGACAGCACCACACAGCAGTTGCTGTTGCGTCCTGAAGTGAAATCGATGCAGCTGACAAACAGCTGTTACACGGAACAGAGTAATACAACAAAGGTTGTTTGGTCATTTACACACGGAGGACGCAGCGTGTTCAGCAGTTCATTCACGTGTGAATTAAGTTCTCGCTAAGCTGTGTGTAATTACAGCATCTCCACTAATCTACAACATTTGTTTTAGGGTGAAATTATTTGCTGTGGATGACGCTCCATTCTGTCAGTTTGGTGTTCAGGCACCAGCAGAGATAAACGTGCACGTTGCTCTGTTTGTTTGTTTGTTTATGGACCACACCACTGATAAGTCACGAAATTCAAGGAGGAACAAAACAGCGATAAGGCTGAGAGGCACAAACACAATAGGGGAGCAGAGAGGGGAAGTCAGGAGGAGAGCGTGGATAAATCAAAGTATTTAAAACGAATAAAAAAGACAGAGTAAATCAGAAAAAGCCAACAACTTGTATCTTTTTGAATTTCAAAAAGAGATTTTTTTAACCAATAAAAATCCACCATCGTCTCTTGAAAAAAAAAACGACCTTTAAATAGTCATTAAAACAGTCACGAACACAAAGCAGCTCCAACCAGATGAGCCAATAAAAGTTGTAAAATGTGATCAGTGCCGTCTTAAAAAGTCAAAACCAAACTCTCTCTCTCTCTCTCTCCGTCGGAGAGTCCACATACCTTGCAGAGTTTCTGGTAGCGCGGTGATGAGATGGCCATCCTCTGGAGCCTGTGAAGGAAGACCACCACTTTCTGGAGGGAGGTCCGAACCATGGCCATCATCTTAAGACTGCTACAAGTCTGCAGCAGTCTGTTCTTAGTCCGCATGCTAGCACTGCCCTACCCCGCTCATTATTGTTCTCTCTCTCCCTATCCAGCCGAGCAGACCTCAGCCAAGCTGACGTGATGCATGCGCACACACATACACACAGGGTGACACACACACACACACTTACTCAGCTCAGCATGCCCCCACCGTTCAACACACACACATACATACAGAGAGAGAGAGAGAGAGAGAGAGCACAGCCTCAGCTGGAGTCTCCCTCTGTGTTTAAAAACACAGAGACGGACACTGTTTGACACAAGCTCCCAGCACACACACACACACACACACTCTCACACACACATATGAGGATGATGATGGTGCAAAAGAGCCGGACGAGACAAGGCACTCACTTTCTCCTCCACATTTAACACGCACAGAACCCCGAGAGAAACGCACAAACCAGAGTCAGAGGTGGAGGAAGAGGAGGAGAAAAGGGAGAGGATGGGGCAAAAAAAAATGAAGATGTGGAAAAAAGAGGAAAGTACGAGGGAAGAAAGGAGGAGAGCGAGAGAGAGCGAGAGAGAGAGGAGGGCACGAGTTGCTCAGACGGAGATGCAGATCGTACACGGCTCACTTTTCACTGCCACTGATCCACACCGGAGACAGGAGGAAAAGGAGGGAGAGTGTGAGGTGGAGGAAGAGAGAAAGTGAAGAAAAGACAGTAATCGCACTGGACCACACACAGAGAGAGAGAGAGAGAGAGAGGGAGAGACAGCTCAAGAACAAGAACAGTTTGAGGGAACCAGTGGCCGCGCCGTGAGGTTAGAATAACATCACACAAAAGCAACCAGCCAACGGATGGATGAACGAGAGACAAAGAGGAGGAGAGAGGGAGCAACAGTGAGTGAGTGAGTGAGTGAGAGAGAGCGAGAGAGAGAGCAGATAAATGAGATGCGAACAAACAGCAGGGTCAGTGAGAGGGAGGAGTTATACCAGGCAGCACGGAGAGATGCTGGACGGAGAGTTCCTATTCATTTCAGCAGAACAAACGTCAGCTGTGCATCAGCCGCCTCTGACTTATGGTTTTATATGGGTTTTTTTCCCTTCATAACACAGAGAGCAAAGCATTGTTGGACATTGGAGGCTCAACACCTTTTCCCATACAACAGCAAAAGTGTTGTTAGTTTTTCTCAGAAAAAAAAAAATCAACAAAAACGACAGCTTTTCCAGGTCAAAGTGTAAATATCAGTGTCAGTGTCCCTTTCAATGATGCAACGTCTGTAACTAATGAGAAGCAATTCAATATCAAATATTTACTAGCACGATATTAAACTACCAATGACAAGCTGCATCCAGCCAGGAAGTACTCGTCTGATTTATTAATACTAACGTCACTATCGACATTTTATACTGCGTTTCCGGTGCAACAGAAAGATGTAAGATTTTAATTCCGTATCATCTTTGATTAGACGTTTGTGAGCGTTCGACATTAGAAATTAGGGCACGAGGAAAAAAAAAATGTTGGAGGAAGGTGAGGAAGGAAGGAGGCGGGGAGGAAGAGGAAAGTAGATTAGAGTCAAAGAGCCTTGTTTCAGATTGAAAAATGCTGAATCCCCAACAGAATAAATCCACAGGTACTGTGGAGATGACGACAAGAGAAGAAGAAAAAAAAAACCTGTCTGATAAAAGGAGAGAAAAAGTGTCGGCACACACCGGTGCAGAGATGATCATGAAACAGCTGCTGGGCTCCTGCAGAGACGCTGACCACACAAACTATTCCTGTTCCACGTGACATTTTCTCCTGGACTTTTCATTTAAAGTGCAGGGAAACAAACGTCATCTTTCTACAGGAATGAAAGTGAAAAGGCGTGTATTTGAAGTGAGGATGAAAACGACTCCATATCACACAATCCACGGCACAATATCTCACCATCGGAGCCTCACACAACAGAGAACTGTGACATGGATTCAAGTAATGTCGATAACAGGAGATTCCAAGGCCCAGAAAATGTGTGGAAAAATCACATGAAAGAACCGTTAAAAGGAGATTTCAAGGCCCAGAAAATGTAGAAATGTGTGGAAAAATCACATGAAAGAAAGAAAGTGTTCTACACAATGAGACAATAAGACCACCAGGCTCTGGTACTGTTTGAGCAGCAGTGAAAAGAACTGTTTTTCTCTCAGTATGACCCTGGGTTTAAAAAATGAGCTTCAGTAAACATCTTATTTGTTCCAGGTTCACTGACCCTGGGAGTTTGGGCGCCCTGGGTTAAAAAAATGGACTTCACTAAACATCTTATTTGTTCCAGGTTCACTATCTGATCTACACACACACACACACACACACTGTACACCCACTACAAGACACCACTCCTACAAACGATGTCATGGAAATCGTGTATGATCATCAACTGGTGGCCCACAGGCTGAATCCAGCCCACCAAACCATCCAATCCGGCCCACGACTTCATTCCAAAGTAAACAACAAATAACAATATTAGACGGGAGTGTGATTTCCAGCCAGAAAATTCCCTGTGACCCTGGTGAATATCTTTTTACTCTTCTGTTCAGTAGCGTCAAGCCTGTGGTCGGCGCCTGTGTGCAGCGTGGCAGGAATGAGTAGATTATATAGAACCACATGCCTGAGCTGAGATAAGCAAAATTTAATCCATGAGATTACAGAAGGGCACTTTGTGATATGGTTCCAGAGAGGGAATTTGCTCTCAGTAATATGAGCGTTTTACTGTACTTTACACACACACACACACACACACACAATAATCACTTTAACTGAACCTACTCTTTCTCAGGTCCTGTCAATGATCAGCATCAGCTGAGTCCTGTCAGTCAAACGTTCTTTACCATATGTTTGTTGGAGGACCTACTGTTTGTGGAGGCAAATTGATTTCAATTCCACAGGTTTCTGAACATAGGGTATGTGACCCCTAGCCTAATCACCTTGATACTGCAGGGGAGTCATGAACATTTTAGTCCAGGATGGATTTCACTTGTTTTTAGTTCTCAAACAAACACTAAAAAGCGTTCAAAGAACTCTCTGTGAACCATTCAAGCCGTGGATGTTTCTGGATCGCATTCTATCCAAAGCAAAGCTTAAAAATAAAAGCAGAAAAATGATCAAATTTTTCTGAGAAAAGTTAAAAAAAACTCTTCATAATCCCAGACACAAAACTGAAGCAGTGATTGTCTCCCTTAAATGTTTTCTAAAACTGGAACTTCTGAGAGCTGAAAAAAAAAATTAGTCTGGGATTAAAAGATTACATTTGAGGCAAAAATGATTTACTGAGAAGCTGTGTGTAAATGTGTGTGTAAAGGCCAGTTGAAGGACAAGGAGTTCAACCAAGTGCACACCAGCTTCAGTCCTCTCAGTGAAGGACACGTTAATAAGGGGATGACACTCAGATAATGTCCCAGCACCTGCTCATAAAGTCCCAGTTCCTCTGATCATTAACAGCACCACCTACCTCCAGTTGCCTCTTCAGCTCCTTCCCGTGGGCGGAGTCCTTTGACAGGTCTTCTCTCTGGGACGCATCGGCCAGAACGTTGACCGTCGTCTCCGCCTCCTGGAGCCATTTCAGGAAGGACTCCAGCTCCCTGAGAGACATCTGAAGACCCTTCATTTCATTGTCCAGCTGAGCGTAACGGTCACTCGCCCTGTCAATCAATAATTAATCAAATATGTAAAAACACGCACAGGTCACGACACAATTTATAGACAGAGGTCAGTCAATGCTGCGTTCAAGTACCGACACACAGATAAACAAATAGTAGGAGCAGACAAGGACACACAGGGGTGTGAGTGTGTGTGTGCACCTATTGTTGATGGTATTCCAGGCGGCGTTGTGTTTTTCCGTGACCTCCTTGATTCTCCTGGTGTCATCAGTGGAATATTCCCGCAGCAGATGATTGGACAGCTCATTGAAAGCTGCCACAGCGGCTTGGCCTCGGCCCAGGTCTTGGAGAAATGACTGCAAAGCAATAAATAAATTCAGTGACAAAAGGGTCAAGATGACACTGAATAAGTGAGTGATGAGCTGTGAACGTTCACGTCCCCTCTGGAGGTGAACCCATGACATTGCAGCAGTTGAAGTAATTCTTCCTAGGATCTTTCCTCCATTATAATTTCCTTTTGAGATGTATGGTGTTCATGACATTTCTTTAAACTTTACAAAAATATCTTTAAGATTTGCTAAAAGACTAAACAACAAACAGATATTCCTGTTTTCAACAAAAAAAAAAATGAACAAACAGATACTCCTGTTTTCAAACAAAAACATTTCTAATCATATAGATACTTATTCAGGTACACAACTCCAGCTTTAAGTTGAGGAATGGCTGATGCTGCATTAGGTTGAACTAAGTTGCCCTCTAGTGTTACGTTTCAGTAATGCCTCACCCGTGAGCTATATTTTTATTATCAGAGTCATCCTCTTAAATTAAAATGATGGAAGAGATGGGCAAAGGAAGATTATTAAGCTTCAAAATGATACTGCTGAGAGTTGGTTTATTTATTTCTACCTTTTAAAGACTTTATGGGTGCATTAAAAAACCCAGGAGTTCATAAAGAGTAAAGTTTGGTCTTTTTTTCTCTCCCAATCAAAAAAGGGAGAGGATTTCTTTTAGGCAGTTACTTTTTTTTTTAAATGTTAAGGAAAGAGAGTCACAGTAAACAAAACCATAAAATGGAATTAACTAATTTGGGAGGGTTCATCTTTTTTTTTTCACATTTATTTTAGGCTAATCACATCCATCTCCCTGCTGTTATTTGTCTTCAAATACCGGGGAAAAAAAGCTCTGCTAATATTTAGGGAGGTTGATTAATCACGAATAATCGTGATTAATCACTTGACAGCCTTTTCCCTGACCTTGTTATCAGTGAGCTGTTTGGTCAGAGGATCTCTGTTCTGCTGCAGCAGGTTGTGAAAGCGTCCGTCGTTGTGACCAATGAGAGCAGTCACTTCCTTCCTCTTCTCCTCCCATTGGTTACTGTGGACGACCATGTGGTCCAGCTGATGGAGCCGTGCCTCCACACCGTGCTGGGTGTTGTCCCATTGGCTCCGCACCTTCTCCACTGTGTAAACAAACACGGTGTATCACAGTTAAAGGAGTGTAGAAGAGTCAAAGTCAAAGTTCTAGAAAAATTATTTATAAATATAAGCTTTTTCTTTACATTCAGTCCATTAGTATAAACACTTCTTTATTTTTATTTTATTTATTTAGACAACAATTTAAGGGCAATAAAACATCAGATAATTCCTAGTTTTATAGAACCCCCAACCTCAGATTTTTTAAACCACATTTAGACAACAATTTAAGGGCAATAAAAACTCAAACGCAAAAACACTGTAAATAAAACAAGCCTCATTACTGTGGTCTGTGTATGTGTGTGTGCGTACATACATTTTTCAGTAATGGATGTGCGAACGTCCAGATTAGAAGTCTTATTTTTGATGTTCTGCGCCAGCGTAAAAATGTCCTCCAGCTGAGGGTGGCGCTGTTCCAAGTCACTCTTTGTCACCTACCAACAAAGAGAAAACACATTGAACAACATGTCTGACACACTTCAGTCACATCAGCCACCGAGGCCTGTTCTTCTCCGCCCACCTGCAGACGCCCCATGGTGGTCCTGATCTCCTCGACATCCCCCACGGTGACGATATTAGACTTGAGCATCTGTGTGATGAGAAGGAGCCAGTTGGCCAGCTCTGTTGCTGTTTCATTGAGATCAGTGGGAGCCACAGAGTCTGGTGAGTGTGGAGTCTGGTGGTGTGGGTCCTCACTGACCAGACTGGCCATCTGTACGGCCGACGGTACTGCAGACACTGAAGTCAAGTCAAGTAGACGACGGGAAAAACAAGGAAACTCTTTTAGACAAGGATTTAAAAAATGTTGCCAACTGTGACTAATAAAACCAGCTGGTCTTTGCATTTTTCTATGTTTGATGTTCGACTCAGACATCAAACTTCTCTCTTCTTCACATATTTCAGCATCTTTACCAAGTTGCTGGTGCTGGACCAGATGTTCCCGTTGGGTCCACGGAGAGATTTGTGCCTGAAGCGTTTCCCTCATTTGACCATCAAGAGCTTTCCAGTCGGCTGCCAACTGTTCTACTTTAGTCTGTAAACATACAACAGCATGCAGATCAATAATCAATGATTTTGGAAAAATATTTAGTAAAATGCAAAGGTTCAACGTCTACCTTTTCTTGTGGCAACAGCTGGTGTCGTCTCTGCAGCTCGATGGAATGGGCCAACAGTTCCTCCAGGTCCTTCTTCCTGTCCTTCATGGAGACCTCCAGAGCCTGGGACAGGCAGACGGCCATTTTAATTTGCATCACAGTGAAGTGACCTGCAGGTTAAGAGAGTTTGTTCTTTGGTTGTTTTTGGAGATCACGGTCAGTCTACCTGTGCTTGTCCTGGATTGAGGCCTCTGGTTATGATGGTCTGGTGTGTGATGACGACCCAGTCGGAGAGTCGCTCCATCCTGTCCTGGAACTGTGCGTGACCCTGGAGGTTGGCCTCGACCTCTCCGACCTTATCCAGCAGCTCGTTGGTCACCTGGAGGATAAGAGACCAGATGTAAACACCAGGACGAGGTGTTAAATCCAGACATAAACATGGAGTCAGTGCTGATTCCACTCACTTTGCTCCAGCTCATGTTGATGGCTCTCAGTTTGCCAACATGTTGCTCTCTGCTCTGAGGACTCACAACGGGGCTGGACAGGATCTGTGGCGCGTGCTTGTTCAACCAACCGAGACGACCGTTCTGTGCATCCATCTCCTCAGCCAGTGCCTGCAAAGAAGAAAGCGCTGACCCTTGATTTCACAGTCACTGCTTTGGTGAAAGACAGCTTTAAGAACCAGAGGCTGAAACAGCTGCTGCTCCACGTTGTCATCGTTCTGTCATTCCATGTTTGTTGCTGTGGGCGTTTTACCTAAGACTGTCAACCTAAATCAAATTAATGAATTAATAATGATACTGATTAACAGTGATTAATTATGACTAATTCTGATTAATCAACATAAACAAACGTGATAAAAAAGTAATTTTCTTTTATTGACTAATCCAAAGTTTTTGTGTTTAAATATTGATAATCTAATTGATTGTGTATTAGAGCAACAATAAGTGGATGGTTGATGAAATATTTGAATAGACAGTTTTCATCCTTCTGCCCATGGGATAAAATGTAGTAAAATTTGCATCTAGTTATTTTCATAAATAAACTTGATCATTTCCATAGCCCTGGTCTTAACAGCAGTAAAGAAAGGCTAATGCTATGTTTAGTGGCTATGAAGGAGTGGATTTATTTCTGTTAACTTATTACTAAGTCGTGTTTTTGTGTTGCTCTTGTCAGGATTTACATATGTACTCCTCCTCCTCCTCCTCCTCTTCCTCCTGAACAGTACAGTGACTAAGGCTCGGCCGTACCTTCAGCTCTTTGAGGTTGTGGTCGGTGGCTGTGACAGGTAGAGACCTGACAGCATTTTCCGCCTGTTCCAGCCACCCAGCCCGCTCGGCGCGTCACCAGGTCTGTCAGGGCCGGGTCGTCACCAGCGAGGCTGCACACACACACACACAAACACGCATGCATACTACGTCATGCACTCGGATAAAGATCTCCACCGCCTGCAGGTTGTACATCTAATGCATAAATTTACATCTCAATAACTGTTGGAGATGCACTGACTGCAGACGGAATGATAACCTGCCAAATTATACATAAAGAAAACACATTAGGACGGAGATGGAAAAGAAAAGCACTGTCCACTGTGGGGAATTGCACAATAAAATGAATCTGATATGAAACCACGTCACAGCAAATGGTCCTTATGTGTCTAAAAAAAGGGCAAATGAAAGATTATTTTTCTATAATTTGTTAATTAGCAGGTTAGCAAGGAACCAGTTTTCACATCATTGGGTAAAAAAAGGGAATCAATTGTCTAATTATTTTAAAAGTCCCAAATTGCCCAAATTCTAATTTCTGGCCGAATGACAAAGCCGTGCATTTTGTGTTTATCCATTAATTCACTACCGGCGCTGTCTGTCCAGAACTTGACGGCTGACAGCTCTCCAACGCTGACTAAGGTTGTTTAGCTTCTCCTCCAGCAGTGGTCCATCAAGAGATGACAGCTGCCCTATTATCTGCTCCCCAGTGTGGGTTAACACAGCCAGGTCAGGTTGGTGACTGGCCAGACCTTCCTCCAGCTCCTGCACACAAACACAAAGTAAAGAAACTGAGTGACAGACAGAGGAGGAGGGAAAAAAAATAGAATTTGGGATAAGTCCAACACTATAAGCCCATTGACTTTGAGCCAAATCCCCTGCCAGAGTCGGTCTCCTCGGGGAAATCTGTGATCGACACACAGGTTTGATTTGTGGGAGTAAACACAGGAGATGCTGAGCTTCAAGCAGGAATCAAAATTTAAGCCGCGAGAAGTCACAGCATCCACAGAAGGAGACTTAAAGTGTCGAGGCTCACACCCGTAAAGCAGAGTGAATAATTGTAACGACCGCCTCGGAGTGAGTCAGCTAATTGATCTCTCAATTCCAGTTCGTTTGATTCTGTAGACACTGCAAAAACCTGTAAGAGCCAAGCAGAGGAAGGAGGCGACGGAGCCGTGTAAATCACCCCGAGCGGAGGTGTTAATGACGGAGGTTGTGTCATTGACGCAGAGGCAGACGGAAGCTACGGGGATTCTAATTGTCTTTGGAGATGAAAGTTGCCTTTTTAATAATCAAACAAATCAAAAAATTATTTCCGAGCTCAGCTCATTCTTCCCTTCTTCACTTCCTCCGATTTTTCATTCAGCATGATGAATGGCTACACACACAGTGTGTTCATTAGACACAGTAAAACACACATTATTTTCTCGGGAGAACAGAATTTCATTATCTCCTGTCCAACATTTGCAAAGATCCAGTTTCTAATAACTCATCCATTTTAATGTGGCATTCTGGGAGAGTAATAATCTTGCAACAAAGTTATCAGCAAATACTGTGTGATGAAGATTTAATGCTGTACTATTACTGTACTGTACTTTTAATACTTAAACTGTGGAGCTGGGCGGAAATTAACTATAGAGTTGAAAGTCACTGGTTTGTCCAAGGTAACTTTGAGCTGTTTATCTTCGAGACTTTTGGCCACCTTCTAGCAAACTTTAAATTGTAAACTAAAGTGTGAGTAATTTGTGATCAGTCCTGAGTAAACTATAGACAATCTTGCGACTAATCATGATTAAATATTTCAGTTGATGGTGGCCCTAATGGGAACTCATTCAACAACCACCTTTGAATTTACCCCCCCGTCACCTCTTCACCCACCTGCTGGTGTTGTCGGGCAGACTCCAGGTTCAGCTGCCCATCAGGGCCCACACTGTCAGACAGCAGCGTCTCAGTGTCACTCAGCCACTGACTCAAGTCGTTCATCTCACAGTGGAACTGCCCCCACTCCTCGATGGCACGGTCGAAAGCCCTGCAGCAGAGAATGTAATAAAAAGGTTACGTAACAAGAAATGATGTCTGTGAAATGATTTAGGTTCATTTTTATTATGTTTAGTTAAGTAGAAAAAAACTGAATATTGTGGTGCGGAGATAAAATCATGTTCACGCACTGGAAATCTTTTCAGATGGTGATAAGGAGAAATTGGAAAAGCTGACCTCCATTAAACAGTGGAAAGAGACATAACGTCAAGAAACTCCGAATACATCAGTGGACGATTATTTAAAACGATTTGAATGAAAATTTGATTTTTATCAAGTTTGAAGCTTTTTCCTTTGACAGAAAAAGAAGAGTGGACAAAAGTGGTGAGGAAATGAGTTTGGGTGAGCAATTTCACAAAACATGCTTCTTTGTCTGGTTTTAATCATGCCTTCAGGTTAGTGCACAAATACAGACGGAGCGCTGCAGCGTTTATGTGCCATCTACTAAATTAGCTCCACTGTTTATTTCAGCCTGGCACATACTGTACTCAGCAAAATGTTGATGCCCCTGAAGGGGGGTTGATGGGAGTCAAGGTCACACGGCGATAGTGTGTGTCTGTCTCCATATGAGTGAGTGAGTGATGGCAACCATGGTCATTGTGTGTTTTTTTTCTATGTCCTTATTTTTCTCTCTTTATCCGGATTTTTTTTTTAATATATATATATATATATATATACATATATATATATACATATATACATCTAGACACAGACATTTTTTAAAGATTTTTTTCAATTTGAATCCTCCATGTTGTGATCAATAGTTCATTTTGAGAGCGTACCCTTTGCGGTGGTTGTACATGCGGTTGAGTCTGTCCCACTCGGCGTTAAGCTGCGTCATGGCGTCTTCAATCTGAGGCACCTCAGCCGGCGAAGCATCACAGACGGCGTGTGGTTGACGCTCGTGGATGACGGTGACCTTGTCGCCGAGCTGGTCCAGGTTTGACTTGATATTCTGTAAAAAAAAAAAAAAAATTAAAAGAGTAGTCTAAGAACTGGACACGGAAAAGTGTCAAAAACAATATGCAATATGTCAAATGTGTCAAAAATGTGTTAAAATTTCTAATCTGATCAATTACTTCAAAAAGTGTATAATGTGTATGTGTAACAGACTAGAAACAAACTAACTTATGTTTTAACAATAATCTTGTAAATTTAATTGGATTTCCCTTAAAAATCACCTAGTGGTCAGAGAAGAATATTACACTACATCCCAGCTTTGACCTTTACAGTTTCCAAAACGAACCCCCCTGACTAAAAATCAGATCAACACCAACCTTCAGCATGTCCTCCTGGCTGGAGAAGTCTTCATAGAGACCCCCGCTGAGCTCAGGGGAGTTCAGCAGCAGCTCACTGTCGGCCATGGCGAGGAGTAACTTGTTGATGTCTAAAAGGAAATCTGAGGGACTCACTGAGGGGACGGTGCTGCGGTCAGCTGCCGACATCTCCTAAGACGCAGGGACAGTTGACGTGTCACAGCAGAGTAAACAACCAACAACACACAGTAACAACATCTGTCTGACATTCCTGGGTGTTTTCTTTCTTCTTCTTGGGTTGGGCCGTTGAATAAAACAGTAACAACAACGACAGTGTTATGGTTCAAACTGTTGTTTTATGACCTGCTCTTTCAAACTTAACTTTTTGGAGCTTTTGAAACACTGCAGATGTTGTTGACAAAGTGTTGTAAACATGCGTGTGCGTCACAAAAACACTACAGAGTGTTGTAAACATGCGTGTGCGTCACACACCTGCTCTGAAAGCTCTCGTGTTTGGTCCGTAACAGGTTGAGAAGAACTGGACTCCACAGAGACCTGCACAGTCCTGGATCGTAACACCCTCAACTCCTGAATGAGCCACATATCATTTAACAGGTTAAAGATACATTGGGACGTGACTGAAAGTTTTGTTTGGAGAGAGCAATAAAAGCAAAATCGGATAATTTAAGGACACCCACCCTGTGAGAAGAATACTGGCTCTGCAGCCGCAGCAGCATGAGTCTTAGCTCCTCCCTCTGAGCCTCGTCTGAGGTCTGCTGCAGCAGCTCTTCACCTCTTCTCAGCAGCTCTTCCACACCGGCTTTCTCTTCATCCATCTGTCACACAGGGACAAAGGTTACATGCAGAAATTCAGGATATTTGTGTACATTTATTTCATGTAAATACACACCAGAAACTGACACTCCTGAGCCTGAGCTGCACTTTTTCCAAACAAGCAACAAGTTGGACACACTGAAGACACTGTAATAAACACTGGTACAATAACAGCTTCCACACTCGGGCACTGACCTTGCTCTGGATTGGTCAGATGTGTTCAGCTGGTGTCTTTAACGTCATAAACCTTGATAACGTCGACTAAATTCCAGAGCTCCGAGGCCTTGGTTTGCCCACTCAACACTCGTCTTATCAAGTGGTGGTTTATTTTATTGCACCTTAAAAACTGCCATATATTTTTATACAATATTTAATGGAATGTACAAATTTGTTGTTTGGGTTCAAATTCCCACCTAAAACAGTAATGGATGTTAAACCTGAATGGAGATTTTCAACTATAAAACTGACTAAATATTCATCACAGTATTTGGAGTTTTTATGGCACAAGACGACATAAAAATGAAATCATAAAGGACATCGTCTCCTACCTTATCGTCATCCAGGATGTTTACTGGCTCCTGTTGCTGCTGCAGAGATTTGAGGGTGTCCTGAACCTCCGTCTTCAGGTCCTTCACCTCGGAGGAGACAACCGTCTCAGCAGGTGGAGCCTGACTCTGAGTCTCGACTCTAATGTCAGGGCCCTGGATGAGCTGCTGAGAGAGAGGTGAAGAAACAAACCTTAGGAAAATGCCTGAGACCCAGTCAGATAAATGTCATGACCTGACTCTCTGCTCTGAGAAAACAACCACCTCAGTATAATTTATTATTCTACTGTGACTGAGAGCAGAGCATTACACATTAAGAACCCAAGGGCAACACATCGTAGCCACTTTTCCACTGGGAAAAACAACAGCAGGGGTTAGACCGAATGAATGATGTTGCCTCTGCTGTTGTGAAAGTATTTTGTGGTAAAGTTCAAAGATATGATTTGGATGATGATGAAACTGAGCACAAAGGAGAGGTTCTCATACCCTCTGAGGTGTCACCTGCTTCATCTCCGCAGCATTGGACTCCAGGCTGGTCATCATCTGAAAGACCAGTGGCAGTTTCACAGATTCAACAGAATGATTTGATAGAAATCACAGTGAAAGTGAGAGCAAATATTCTGCTCTGCTCTGTAAGTAACACATTTTGGTCAAAAATAAAATTGAGCACAGCTGGGAACACACACATTTTCTATTTTGACAGATAAAATTGTTTTGGTCAAAAATAAAATGGGAACACGCACATTTTCTATTTTGACAGATAAAATTGTCGTCTTAGTTGTCACAACTGTGGCCCTGAACAAAAACGGTCAATTTTAAAATTTTACATTTCCTCTATCAAGTAACAAGAGTTTAGACTTTTGTACCTTTGCGGTTCTAATGTGCTGGGAAACTTTTTCAAAGTTGCAGTTGAGCTCGGCCAGTTTGGGCTCCACCACCTCTCTGCAGGCGGGCCCCCTGCTGGTCATTAGGATGATAGCCTGGTCCCTCACATTGTCCACACGCAGAGTGATGTCCTCCAGCTCCTCCAGCATGCTCTGAGGACACACCACAGGGTAGCACAGGGTCATCTTTCTCCATCGGTCTGTGCCATTACTCACTCTTAAACCAGGATGACGGCGCGGCCGTGAGTCGGCGCTCCGTCTCAGCGTGGACTGAATGAGTGTTATCAGGCCCAGAGAACATCTGAGAGACAAGTCCTCGGATGTTGTGATGAGAAAGGGAGAAGGCTTACAAACTTCTTATTACCCTCCAATTTGCTCCTCCTGGGGTAACTCCACTATATTGACACTGAGAATTTAGTCAGTATTGTCCTGATGTGTGTACAAACACATAAAATCCTCATTCTGAATGAGCACAAGTTATTCCTCGGCACAAAGGATAAAAACCAGAATGGAACATTTATAAATGACTGATCGTTCATCACTAATCCTCTGGTGTGAAAACACATTAAGTCATTCTGTCCCAGAAGACACCAGGAGGATGTTCCTTAATGGATTGTGGCAGAAGTGCATCTCCCTCCCAGAGGCACTGATTTCCATAAAACAATTCCGTCTCAGTTTGTGACTGTATTAAAACCAGTCGATTCATACAGTTCAGTTAGTACGCCTGAGACCCTGACGTCAGTGGTAAATTGAATTTATTCAATTAAATGATGGATGTAAAAGAACAGTCCTCTTTCATATTAATGCACCGTTTCCCCCCCAAATTACCTGAATCAGATTTTCCCTCTCAGTCAGGGAGAGTCGCTCGGCCTCATCCAGGTGGATCTGGGTCTGGTAGAGCCACGTGCTGATGTGGGCCACGTTCTCGTCAAAGATTTCCACCTCGTTCTGGTGACTCTGTTTTTTTAGAAGGAGAAAATGAAGGAAATAAAAAGTTCAGTTTGTTTCAGATTCGATCAAAACATAGTTTTAATAACGTGAGTTTTCAACAACCTCAAGAGGAGATTTCTGAGGACATGTAAACACACGTTACTTCAAGGGTTGATTTGCAATTTTCATATTTGTCTTCACTATTTGATTTGGCCTTCAGGGAAATAAGTGCATTCATTTGACTTACAAAACAGAGGAGGGTATTTTTGTGTAAATATTATAAATAGAAAAGCCTATAGAAGTATTTTCTTTTCTTTTACAGTACCAAAATATTTTTTAAATGAATATCTGCAATTGTAATTTATTATGAAACGAGTAATAACTTCATTTTCAACTTTATTTTCTAAAGTTATTTTATGTATTTATTTTTATATGAATAAAAGAGATGAGTACAGATAAATATTTTTACATTACACTCCTGTCTCTTGTGTCATGTATACAATAAATAAACCATACATTACATCTAAAGATGACCAAAGCCATATAACAAATTGTAGAACTTTTTTTACTTTCCAAAAGAACAATTGATCAAAGCCAAAAGCCTTTTTTTTTACCTTACATTACATCTAAAGATGACCAAAGCCAAAGCATATATTATTATTATTAATAAATATAACAAATTGTGGAACTTTTTTTACTTTCCAAAAGAACAATGGATCAAAGCTTTTACCTTACATTACATCTAAAGATGACCAAAGCCAACGCATAAATTGTTTTTTTTTCTAAGAAACCTGAATTTTATCACAGCAGCTCTGTGTTTTCTGACTGGATAAAACTCTTGGACTCACCAGCACGGCGCTGAGCCAGTCCTCAGTCCAGGTGCGCACACGGCCCCAGGATTCGTTGAGAGCAAAGAGTTTGTCCTCCAGCTGGGTCTCACTGCCCTCCACCAGGGTCTCCAGTCCAGCACTGGTCTCCATCAGACTGGACAACTCTGCCTTACGACGCTCCGACTCCTTCAGCAAACCCTGGTGCAGCAGCAGACGTTTATGGATCAGGTGAAACGTACACATTTTCACATTTAGGGAATTTGTTTTCAAACATTTTTACATTTTATATACATTTAAAAACTTAAGGAGGATGTGCTCGTCACCACAGTGTGAAGCTGTGACTTTTTAAAAAAATATTAATGCAGTTTCTGTCTCAGGATTCTCCCAGTGAAGAGGTCAAGAGGGCGCAGTTGTTAGGGATCGTACAGAGTTTTCAGTGCTTTTTTAAACAAGTAGGGTCAGAGAAGAAGGCAGAACAGTGAGACCGGCTCCTGGGGAAGAACCCATATCGTTCTGTGTATTTAGTAGAATAAATAAATAAAGATGATTTAATGCATAATCTGGTCATAACACAATTAGTGACTACTTAACTAGAGTAATAGTGCAGCTTTATATAGATTTATATGGAGTAATTAGGAAAATGATGCAGTAATTATTTTTTGTTTGAACCGCAGTTTTTTTAAAAAATACTTCCATTCTCTATATTATTTTGTTTTTCACAGAACTGTATCTCTGTCTGATCTGTTGTTCTGACCCAGAAACTTTCCTGAGGAGTAACAGGATAATGAAAAGTTCTGGGATAACTGCTCACATTGGCCCAGGCGATCTCGGCATCAATGTCAGCTGGCATGTCTCCAGAGCCGTTCTTCTGCTGGAGCTGGGTCTCATTTTTGCTCAGCCACTCCTGCAGGGCGCCGCTCTCCTTCTGGAACTTCTGAGACAGAGACAGAGCTTTTTCCAAGTCCTGTTTCCCCTCCGTAACCTGAGGAGAGAGCGAACGAAAACAAAGTAGTTCTCTTTCTGTTCTGTAATAAAATAATGAGCATCTATCTCGTACCCATCCCACACGAGCTGCTTTTTTCATACAATAAATATGGCAAGATACAATTACCTGAGCCCCCAGGTCGTTGTAGAGAAGTTTGAGAGCAGTCAGCTGTTCGTCCATGGCCTTGGGGTTTTCTGTCTGCTGTTTCTGCACAATCTGTCGACCTGTTTTTATCACTGTCTCCACTTCAAGTTTGACTTCGCTCAGCAATTTGTATAATTTCTAAAGAATAAAAAAAAGGGAAACATAAGGCTAAGTCAGATGATCTCTGTTTTCGTACCTGGACTTGAAGACATCACCAATGACTAAATATGTGAACCTACAGTAGCTGCAACACCAATGCATTTAACACTGTGTGATATTCAGACTCTCACCATACAGCCACTGAGGTGGGCTTGGATTTTTTCTGGTTCCACATCCTTCAAATCCAGGATGTGCAGCTCAGACTTGGCCCCTTCCAGGATCTTCTTACAGTCCAGCATGCGCTGCTCAAAATTAGCAGGCTTCTGGAACAGCTGGTACTTTGTAGAGATTTCTCTGAGTTTCCTCTGAAGTGAAGCAAATGGAGGTTTTTCTTAATATGACAAATGTGTTCTACAAAAGCTGTACCTTTTCTTCATACTGGTAGCATCGGTTTTATATTTTCACTGCAGGTTAAATCTGCATATTCTAATGTTCTCCAGCAGAGGTCAGTGTTACCTGAAGGTGATCCAGCATGGTTCCACCACGGGCAGCCTTGCCATCAGTGGTAGGGGGAGGGAGATTGGCCACATTTCTTCTTCTCATCTCCTCCACTGTTACCTCGTGGGCTGCGATCTCTGCCCCGATGCTCTGAGGAGGAAGTGAAGTCAAGACTTAGGAAACACCATGAACATAAATGTTAAGGATTGCGTGTTTTACATTTCTATAAAAAAAAAAAATCACCAAGAGACAATTTGTGATTTATAAAATCCATGATGTCACAGCAAGAAACTCAACTCAATACTCCTTTAAACGAAGCAGGAAGAGCTACATGCTAATTGTTTTTTTGTTTTTTTTTTGACATGCTAATTGTTTTTTTTTTTCAGAATGTGTTGACTCCTGCTAGATGTTAATTAATTCACAACAGTTTATTAGCCGTGTACCTGAGGGGATTTGGAGAGGGATTAAGTCATTTCATTAACCTGACCATTAGTAAACAGAAATCCTGTACCTGTGCCTCCTGCGGGAGTTGGAAGGCGTCGACGCGGTCAGTGAGGTAGGAGGTGAGTGTGTGGTCCAGGTGGCTCAGAGACTCGTGCAAAGACTGCAGAGCCTGGTCGTTCTCCTTCAGTGTCTGGAGCTGCTGCTCCAGGCTGATCTGTCTGCTCACAGCCTGGACATATACACATATATATGTATATATTTATGATGTTAAATGATGTTATGGTTAGTAACTATTCAATGTTTCTGACCTGGTTGTTGAGCTGTTCGTAGCGAGAGTTGAAAGCCTCTAGTTTTTCACTGATGAGGTCGTCCAGTATGCCTCCATCGATCAGAGTCTGACCCAGCTCTCTGATCTGGGTACGGTTGTCCCCCGGGTGGCGGAGCACGCTCTCCAAAGACTGGTGGTGAAAGCAGAAAGAGATGGAGAAAGGAAGTCAATTTTGTGGTAGAAAATTTTAAAATTGCAAATGTAAAATGGGAAGAAAGGTTGCCAACAACAACAGCCTTACACAAAACCACAACAAACATCAGAGAGCAGAACTGCTTCACATTTCCACAAAACTCTGCCAGAGAAACTCAAAGGGATATGGAGGGAACGAGTACAAGTCAAACAGTAGAATCCAGTGATTTGGTTACACAAAAGAAAATCAGTTTTGGTTGCAGTGCATGAAAGGCAACAGTAGAGAGTGCAGATGGCTGCGCCAGATGACGGCCAGCCCCAAAAAGAAGAAGTTGAACCAAAAACAAAGAAGAAACATTGGACTGACATTTGTTAGCATTCAGCAGTCAGTCTGGATGTGGGGGTCATGAAATGTGCTTTTCTGTCCTCAGGGATGATGGACAGAGAGACAGGATGACCGGTCTCTTCCAGAGTCTGATTAGGAAAAAGGGAAACTATGGGGAGCGAGGGTTAATGTGTGTGTATGTTTTCTTTTTCATTGTATACTGCGTGTACTTGTTCATATGACTGAATGAGACTAGTACTAATACTTCTACTACATGTTTTGTTTTTTTTCAAATGTTCAACTCCAGCTTTTGTCCATATAGGGACACATTTTCAACTGTTTTTTTGGACTCTTCTTAAGAGCAGTTCAGCAACACTGACTTTTTTTAGTAACAGTATCCTCATCATCTGGCACTGTTTCTCATTCACCGTGTGTGTGTGTGATAAGGGTTTGCATATTTCAATCATTCAGTCATTTGTTGAGCCAGTTATTTAGTGTGTGTCTCTTACAAACACCTGTCTGGTTGATTTTGTAAAGACTTCTACACTAACATATTGTCAGGACATTTTACCAAGAAACTGAAGGCTGCACATCAGGGGTGTTTTGCCAATTTTTTTCCCCCCAGTAATTTCTGGCGTAGACGTACCTCCAGGGCTTCGTTGACAGCCTCTGTGCTCTCTGGCAGATTGTCACTAGCATGAACCTTCTCCTGCACAGTGTTGAGCCAATTCTGCTCCACATCCAGGTACTGCAGCAGCTCCATCCAACAGGACCAAACCTCCTGCAACACACAGGCAAACGCAGACACCTCATTATGTGCAATCAGAAAAAAACATGACAGCACGGTTGTTTTTGCCTTTTTCTTCATTCTTTAAAAAACAACCCCACTTCAAAGAATCAAAAAAAAAAGTTGAAATGGAGGCTGGTGACTCATAGACTCGAGGCAATAGATGTATGAGAGTATAAGCATAATTCCTGTAACAGGGTTTGATCTTCAACCTGCACAGACTCGGGGATGATGTTCGAAAAAACAAAGCCCCGAGCTACGAATCTTTAGACACAAACAAAACAATATTTATTTCACACATCTCTGGTTCAGGGCATGAAAGTCCAGCATGTAACCAACATGTCACTTTAACACTCAGTAACAAGAGCAGAGAGACTTGACCGGGCCTGTCCTCTACCGTCAAACGTGTTATTTCCACAGTTGGACCAGAGACAGAGAGACAAACACATTACCTCCAGAGTGTGACACTTGCTCTTGAAGCGGTCGCAGAGCTTGTGATAGTTGGCCAGAACCTGATCGAGCTCCACCGTCAGTTCCTGTCCCCTGCTACCACTTGGGGGCGTTGTTCTGGGGACCAACGTGTTGATGTTGTCTTTCAGGATCTTAACCTTCACCTCCTTCTGTAGTACGTCCTCTTTAGCCCTCTGTGGGTAAATGGAAACTGTTAAGGAACAACAACAACAACAACAACAACAACAACAGTGAAAGACCAGATCAGAACAGTGACACGGACCTTCATCTCCTCCAGCGACGCCTCCAGCTCTTCAGGACTCTTGTACTCAAAGTCCCTCATGAGAAACTCCTCATCCACTTGCGTCATCCATTCCTGCATCTCTGCCAAGTCCTTTCTCAGATTCACCTGCTTCTCCTGTCTCTCTACCACGTGTTCCTGATGTTTCAGCAGCTGGAACAAAATGACTGACAAGGTTAGAAATCTGTCCAAGAAAATCATTCATTTACCTTGTACTGTCTAACTTTTTTGCTGGAGCTGAGCCCTGCCACCATTGTACAAGAGTGGGATAAAGTTCACTAGTCCAATTTATTTAAGTTGACCGAGTTGGAAAATTACATTTATTAAAAATCCACGCAAAACACAAAGACCATGTACAAGACTACACTGCACGGGGACAAGTTGGAAAATTACATTTATTAAAAAACCCACGCAAAACACAAAGACCACCATCAACAACATGTACAAGACTACACTGCACGGGGACATTAGTAATCTACCTTACCTGTTTGCACAGTGTGTCCCATCTCGTCTTGAAGTCCTCCAGCTTCTCCTGCCCCCACTTGGTCAGTCCTGGGACTGCAGCTGCTTGTACAGCACTTACATTCTCTTCCATCTGCTTCAATGAACTTCCCACTGACTCTATCTCATTCACATACTCCTATTGGGAAAAACAATAGTATCCAGATTGACTAAGACTTTATATTTTATATTAGTTATTTATATAATAGCTTATATAATACTTTATGAAAAATAGCTTTTATCCAAATGAAGTAATTTTATCAGGGTTTTTTTTTACCTTGCACTGATTGAGCTCTTCACTCAGCCTTTCTGTGTCACCCAACACTGTGACATCATTCGACAACAGCTCCTGGACTGCATCCAGCCAACGCTCAACTTGTATCACACACACCTCAAAGAAGAAAAACAGTAAACAATTTTACTAGTTATTATGCCGTTCAAACCATCTTAAAAAGTATTTGCTGTATTTGCTGAAAAAAGAAAATTACCTGATTATCCTTCATGCTTCCCAGAATGCACTTCAGCGTCCCCAGCTCCTCCCGGGCCTTGGAGGAGAGTCGACTCCATCTTTGCATTTCTGTGGGATCGGAGGCTTGTTGTGTTTGCTCGATCTCCAGACACAGGCCCTGAGGATGAAAACAAGTTCAGGCTTAAGATGCCACGTCACAATGGTGTGCACGATAACTAGACGACTGTGGAAAAATGAATAACTGGAGAAGGGATTTGACACGTTTAAATATGAGCAACAACAATGTTCAGATGTCATATTAGGAGAAGACAGACACACTGTTCACATCTGAAAGAACAGACGCTTTTCACTGTATGTGTGAGGATAAAGTCAGAGATTTAAGATGACTACAATCTTACAGAGGATTTCACTGAATTAAAAGCAGTAAAATGTTAAAAAAAATACTCAATACTAGATGGTTAAGGTTTGCTTAAAAAGAACAAGTGTAAAAACAACACTGAGACTGTATGTCGTGGATCACAGACTGACCAACCACACTACAGTATGCAGTACATTAGAGCTACACTCCACTCCGTGCTCCTTCTCACAGACACCACGTCCCTATCTGCCCTGATAAGAGGAGCAAGGACTGGAGCAGCATTCCAGCAAGGATAGAGGAAGAGAAAGGTAACACACTGACCCACAACACAACATTTATGACTGAGAAGTACTCACTCACACACACACACACACACACAAACAGAGGTTTGAAACTGTATAAAAGGAAGTGAGTAGCTGATAAAGAGACTATTGTGTGTAGGAGAGGAAAAATACTCTGTACTCTGACATGAGTACAAGCCCATACACAAAGTATTACTCTTCAGAATGAAACCTCGTCTGGCTCAGGTTCAGAGGTCACATGTTTCAGTTGTCAGACACACATTATTCTTCTGTGATTTCTTTAATCCGGAGTCTAGACAGAAACCTCTCTGGATTAAACATCCTCGGACGACCCGGGCAGGAAATTAGAACAATTCAAATACGTGAAGACACAGATGTTATAAGAATATTATTTTAAAAGATACCAAGTGGAGAAAATGTTAAACTTAGTTCAACTTTCTTCAAAAATAAACCTCTGAAAATGATCATTAAACTGCTTTATAAAATGACTATTTTTAATGTTTTAGAGAGAAAATGTCATTACTTTCATTAACATGTAATGTAAATGTAAAAAATGTAAAAAAATGTAAAAAAAAAAAAAGACATAAAACTAAAAAAAAAAGATTCCTGTATTTGGAAATAAAGGACTTCACCTGCCATAGATTTGTTCATGTGAATTATTCACTGTAATTACAGAGTAACGACTGCATGGATATCAACATGTAAGAGTTCATAAACTTTATGTTCTCATATATTTTGCGTGTTTATCGCTGCATCTGTTTTTTTCATGGCGCCTACAAGAAAAAGAAACTGCATTCTCACCTGTGCCCGCTCCACGGCGCCCTCAGTGGTGGGAAGGTCTGCGATTCCTTCTCTCAGAGTGAGCAGCTTGGCCTCCAGGCCCTCCACCAGACCCTGTGCCTTTAGTTTGGCCTCAGCAGCAGCCAAAGCTGGGGAAAAAAACAAAACAAAACAAAGTTGCTTTATTTACAACAGCATGTCAGGAGGAAACTCACACACCTTTAAGTTGAAATAAATACAGTTACATATTACACTTTGGAGATTTTTCCTTGAGTTTGTACGGAATGAATTTCCCTTGAAAAGTTTCATTGAAGTTTCACGTGTGGACCACAGAGGGACAGTGATGTGGTTTCTCTTTGACCGTCACTCTGTACAAAAGCAGCCCAGACGGCTGGTTTATCAAAGAGAGACTACTCTTGCTATTTAAAGAACTATTATTGTGAGCTCAAGAACAACATTAGGAAAATAAATTGCTATTTACTTAAAGGACAAAGCCCGACTTCAGTGACGGCCTCAAACCCACATACATCACAGTCACGTCCACATCTGTCTGCTCCTCCTTTGCTCTCTTTCTCCCACTCTGTTTTAATTACCAGGTGATTTAACGCTTACACAATCTCACTGTGTTTATACCAACATAGTGCAGAGATGGAGTGTGACCGGAGGGGGGGTCGGGGGAGGGGGTGAGGAAGACAGAGAGAGCCACTGGCAGGAGACAAACTGCTCTGAAGCAGAAACAAAACTGTTTTCCTTGGCTCCAGTCCAGATCTTTATAGTCATAAAAGCCCAAGAGGCACAACAGAGGAGGACATTATTAGAACACACACTCAGTGTGACACACACACACATATAGAGCTATGGTCAGGGGGAGCAGAGCAGCACAGTCAAGCCTCCATTAACAGGCTCACTCTGTCCCCACAGCAGTGCATGTACATTTCAACAAGGTAATTTACTTCAAGGCCACTCCTGGTCCAAGTCATGTCCTCAGGTGGAGATGGAGGCCGGCAGTGGGGCCTGAGCTCACACACCATCCTCCTGCTTTACATTCATGCATCTGTGAGCTCTGGGAGGCCATATAAGGACATCATCTATTACCAGTGGCCAGCCAAGGATTGATATAAAAAGCTAATGTCAAATTTACACGAGCACCGTGGGCCTGAGCTGCGCTGATCCTGGCCATCACTCTCACAGTCTCCTTGTAAACCTACAAAAGCTGTGGGCCGAGAGCGGGGAGAGTGAAACGGATCCTTGTCTTAAAGGAGGTTTAAATCTCAGACACTGAAGCATTATGAAACGGGAGAACGCCTCGGGGAAGAAGGTTCCGTGGAAAAACGTCTCGACCTGCAGATTTTTTTGTTTCCTCTTCCTCGCAAAGTTTTGACTCTTAATTTTAGTTCAGCTGCTGTACCTTTGTTGACTTCCTGTTCTCGGCACTCCAGCCGCTGAAGCGTGGAGGCGCAGTGTGCAGACACCACCACCATGTTGTCTTTCAGAGAGGGCACGGTTCCCAAGGATCCAGTCTCTGCGGAAAGCTGCTCCAACCGTGGGCTTAGAGCAGTGACCTGGACGACACGAGACTGAGGAGAACAGAAGGAAGCAGAGAGTTGGTCTGTTTGCTCGCCACATCATTTTAATTCAGAAAGGATATTTATTGGTTTTCTTCTGCGAGCAGGGAGAAATGTAAATTACAGCACTGACGGGAAACAAAATTATTCCGTTGACTTCTCGATGAGCCAACCAAATTTGAATAATAATGCCTATAGAAAGTGAAGCACGAGGAGCAGCAGTCCCAGTCATTATTAGTGGTTTCTGGAGACTGTTTAACCAACTGCTTTGTCAACGATGCTGAAAGACTGTCCACTTCTTATTGACTTGTTTTTTTTTTTAAATCACAGTGAAATAAAGGAAGTGCATTAGGTCCTGGATGGAGTCATTCTTAACAATGACGAGCTGTAACATGCTGCCAGATCAATGTATATAAGAGAGACTTAAATCAAAGTGAAATAAATTAATTTACTCTTTAGGCATTTCCCTGAAATGTCTTCAGCAGTTAAGGCAACTTTTGGAACCATTTTTTTATTACGTCATCTGTGCCGTGCCACATCTAACAATCTGAATCTGGTCTCACCTGACATTCTCCACTCTGCTTTGTGAACCCACTCTGCTCTCACCTGACATTCTCCACTCTGCTTTCTCAGCTCAGCCTCATCACACTTTTCTACAGCCAACACTGTGTCCATCCAACGGTCCTGATCCTCCAGGTCACGGTCCAGTTCTGTCAGCTCGGCGGAAATGGCGCTGACACGGGCCTGGGTGTCGACCTGCTCACGTGCTGCCTCCAGCTCCCGGACGCAAAGATCCCACTCCATTTGAATCCGCTCTAAGTCCGTCTTCACTGGGTCCACACTCACACCTTCTGCAGAGGGACACAGAGGTCAAAGGTTCAACACAGAGTGCCCAGAGAGGATTAAAACATGGCAGTAGTAAAAACAGACACCACGGCTGAGGGAACAGTATGAAGTAAATGAGGGAGTAGTAGAAAGATTCACTCCACTGCCCTTAACTGTCAGCACAGAAGCGTAAACTCCTAAAAACTCCTTAAATGTCTTTTCATTTCATGAAGGTTATATGAAGTCAGCCGCCGTGCAGGCTCAGAGAGTTTTATCACTTCACACACAACTCAAACTGACTATTAAATACACCTAAAATACCCCAGAGCTGAGAGGAAAATCCTCTAGAAAGAACGCAACTTAAATAAAGATTTCTTTTTTCCTATAAAATCCTGAACATGTACAAAAATATTCATTATAGTCATACCTTTCTCCAAATTATCCATCATACTCCGTCCTTCTTGAATGACTTGATTTAATGTGCTCTCTTTTGCTTTGAGGTCCTGTTCCGAGCCCTGAAATGATACAAAGACAAACTATTTAAAATGCATCAAATTTAGAACTTTTTAGATTTATTTTTTTAGATGTCTTTACAGCAGGGTTACCTTCAGTTTCTCCTGCAGGCCTGATGCATCTAATGTAGTCTTTGGATGTGACGAAGCCAGAGCTTTAGTGGACGTCTTCCAGGTCTTCATCCAGGTCAGGAGGTCAGAAAGTTTATTTTCAAACCTATAAAAAAGAACATGAGAAATATGGAACACGACACAGGTCATGGATTTTTTACATCTTTTCTACAGTGAAAAGTGAAGAGAACAGAAGAAACATGAGAAATATGGATTTTTTTACATCTTTCCTACAGTGAAAAGTGAAGAGAACAGAAGAATTGTGTCCCAAATCCTACATTTTTCTAACTTCTGCGTCCGTCTCCACCAGTCGTTTCTTAGGTGGAGTAGGCGGAGCCAGCTCCTGGTCAGGCGACGAGGCAGCGGCCGCCACAGCAACTCCGTCCACAATGACTTGTTCTTCTGTTTGAGTCACTCCAGCATCTGTCACGGCCTCCATCACCTTCACAGGAAGAGTGAGTGTTGTGACAAAAAAGCACACAACACACACAAGTACATCGTCCAACCAAAAACCCAGAGTTTATTCTTCAATCATTAAGAACAATGTATGTTTAGGGTTTCATTTGGTTAATTTCTTCCTAATTCTCTCTCGGCTGAACACACCTGGAAGGAACAGTCCTCCAGCTTCTGCACCAGGTTGTCCCATCGATGTGCCAGATCTTCTGTGTCGGCCTCTATCTTGGCTCCAGCCTCTGGGCTTCGCAGTAATGAAATCACATCCTGTCCAGCATCAGACAGCTGGTCCAACGTCCGTCTCTTCTTCTCCATGTCGTCTTTTAGAATCTAGTGGATTAAAAGTGGAAAATTAAACTCTCAGTAATTAATCAAGCATCTGCCGTGACTGTTTTATATTTATTCATACTGTAAAATACTGCGTTGTCCATTATAATTCAGAGTTAATCGTACAACGGTGCAAAAGTAACTACCCAGAACTTCAACTACTACTTACTGCTAATAGGCGCACATTAGCATTCAGTTCACTGGGGTCCTTAAAGTTGCTCGTCTGTACTTTACTCAAAGCCTCCTCTTTCTCTGCCAACCACGTTCTGAACAAACTCTGCAGAAGTGGTGAGAAAACACAGTTGAAGTGAGTTGGTAAACACTGGGACACAAGATCAGAAAAAAAGCTCAAAGAACTTTTTGTACGTCTCAGTGAATCGTCAAGTGTTTGAGTTTGTTATTAGCAGTGCTTATTTAATCAGAGGGACGGACGGGAGGAGCGTGTTTGTACATCAGTCTTACCTGGTCCGACTGAAGCTGTTGCCAAACCATAAAGACTTCCTGCAGCTTGTGCCACCTCTCCTCCGTCCACCGACACACAGCTGCCCAGCGCTCGCCCAGTGACTAAAAAATTAACAATTTAAAAAAGCTTAAAAATTAAGACCTTTCTCAGAATTGTGCAAATTTTTCAGTTGGAGATTTTATCAGTTAAGCAAAAATGTAGCAGAGATTTTCAAGTCTTAGTCAAATCTCAGTTCTTTGTACTAAACTCCAAGTCGGGTCTCGAGTCTAAATCAGGTCATACTCAAGCACAAGTCAGGTCTCAGTCTTTGTACTCCAGTAACACAGCAAACTATTATTCAAATAAAACAGTGATGTTGAGTGGGGAACAACGAAGGTGAGCACTCTATTTAAAAACATACTTGTAGTTGCTCCTCTAGGGCAGCGGTGGCGCTCTCACCACTGTTCTCATCCACCACAACCACCATGTGTGTCAGAGAGTTGACTTTCACCTGCTCTGCCTCCAGGTCATTTTGAAGCTCCTGAACAGACATACAGGATGTTCAGGATTTAAGTAGCACATACACTATTTACTCCATTAGACAATTACACTACGTTATTACACAATTACTCAATAAAACCATTGACATAGGCAGAAGGTCGGTGCAATTTTCTGAATTCAGGCAAAAAAAATTTGTTTTATATAATTTTAGTCAGTTAATCTGTGTTTACTTTGAGTTGCTCTATGTGCTCTTTGTAAACTTCCAGGTCATTGGCCGCACGTTGAACCTCCATCCTTCTGATTCGGTCCTCAGTTTCCGTCAGCCAATCAGAAAGCTGCTGCAGCTGCTGCTGCTGGAGATCCATCAGGACCTCATGGAGCCTAGAGAAGGAAAACAAGGAAGTGCAACAGCACAGTCAGGCTAGTGTAGGAGCAGAAAGAAAATAAATATTTATGAAAAGATGGGAAGATAAAATATTTAATATATATATATAATTATATATATATATATTGTGTGTGACAGGGAAATGAACACTGGAATGAGCACCAGTGTTGTGCATAGACTCAAGGGAGTATATGTGATAAGAAACACGTGTGTCTGATTATAAATAAATGTGAGTTTGAATTTTATCATTTTTTTCTGCCTTTTTTATGAATTTATCTTTTTGGCATTACTGACAGAAAAGCAGTTTAAAAAAAAAGATCTAAGATGGTTGTACTGTGTAAAAATTCATGATGCAAGACAAATAATGAAAGAATTTTAATATTAATGAATAAACAAAAAACAATATAAAAAATATATTTGGTGTCTGGCAGAAAGACACAGGCCTGGCACTGAGGCACAGTGCTACACACAGACTTTATGGTTTTTACAACAGTGTGAAGCGTGACTCTATACCTGGCCTGGCGATCCATACTATCCACTCGCAGGTTCTCCCAGCGAGAGTTGAGGAGTGCCATCTGCTCCCGGATTTCATTCTCCTCTTCTTCTGTCAGACTTCCCTGAGAAATAAGTTGGTTTCCAGCTTGCAGCACGTTGCCCACACTGCTCTGATGTGCTGTCAGTTCCATCATATATTTCTGTAGAGGAAGCAGGAGTAAATGGTTAATGATAAAGGGACCTTGTTTACCGGAGAGACGTAAAAAAGGCACAGTACAAAGGTTTATTATACCAATGAAACTGACAACAGAGGCAGAGTGATGCCTTAGTTGTCCTAGGGAAAAATAAAGCTGGTCTATCCATCCATATCCAACAACAACAACAACAACAACAATAATAATTATACATTTAAAACTATTATTATTATTATAATTATTATTACATTTAAAACAATTATTATAATTATTATTAATTCATTCTATTTTTATTGTTTCATATGCTTAAAGCTGTCTGTCTTGCCACTACAATTACTGGTTACAGACAAAAGGAAAAGTGCAAAATAAACAAAGATACTTTTATTCAAAGCACCTTTTACTTATCAAAAATACTGCCTGGTGTCAGATGTAAAAACTTTAGTTTGTTTTCTCCATGGGCTTCTTTCTACATTTGGTCCAAGTTGGACCAACAATCCGTCCTGAGATCATCTGAGTTCAGGACATCTGCCTTAAAGCAGACATCAAAACGCTTGTATCTTTTTCCATGTAAGACTTTAACAATAGAACAATGCATTTCAGTTGCAGCGTGTTTAGCCCAAAGAGTTAACTGTGCGTGTGTGAAGGTAAAGAATGTCTTCATGTGAGTCTTTTTTTAATTCAGTTTAACTCCCTGGCAAGCTCCCCTATAAATCTCCATGGACTCCATGTTGGCACTTGGCTCCTACACACTAACATCTGGAAGTGTTTTTCTCCCCACCCTCTACCTTCTCCTGGTGCAGACCTTGAAGACATTAAGCAGAAGTGCTGGGCATCAACCTCTTAAAAAGCAAGTGTGGAACATCAGTGCAGGGAAAACGTATTAAGAAGTGAGGTGAAAGTGGAGGATCAGGGTTGTTATTTACTGTGATATAGAAGGAAACGGGTCTGTTTTCTTTGATACCTCGGGATGAATAATCATTGTAGGTTGTGAGTTTGAGTCCGATGATTTAAATCAAGCTTTGCTGTTGAATCTGGATTAGATAATTGAACAACATTTCAACAGCTTTAGCTGGAATACCCAGACATTAACCTTCACATATGTTCACATTCCAACCACCGTGAATCCATTCAGAAGTCGTCTTTTTACACACACACACCTACAGACACAGACCTCGGATACTATTTCCTCTTTAACAAGTCCTCTGCATGGGACCAAGGGCTGCTACTGTGCTCTGTGTGTGTCACTGCTTAAGACAAACTCCTGGCATTCCCACCATGTATGCAGCATGTAGTTTCCTGACCAAGAAAAGTCCCTGCTCTCATGAACTAAACTAATCACAGCTTCATTCATGTCCCCCTGACCCAGGTCGGCCCTGGGGCCTCGTCCTACCTCGTGGGTGTGAAACTGTTCCTTCACTTCTTCCACATCTGTAGACACATCCTCCTGAATTATCAAGGTGTCCTCAGCCTCAAGCAGCCAAGTCAAAACTTCCTCCAGCGTGGTCTGGTAACTGTCCAGGTCCACCTCCAGCAAACTGCCCTCCAACTCCACCTCTGTCTCTGTCAGGGTGCTGGGGGTCTGCGGACGGGGGCTGCTGCTGGTTTTCTCCATCTGTGCAGTCTGGAAGAACAGAGTTATAAAGTTAGAATTTAACATTTGAAGGCTCACTGAACCAAATGTATGTTTAAAGTTGAACTTGAACATGATGGAGTTGATGTATTTGTTGCAATATTGTTGTTGTTTTTTTAATTTTTTTTATACTGCTCTTCTTCTCTGTGTTCTTCAAATATATGTATGTTATAAAAGAGTACTTCTTAGTACTACTTATCTCATCAAGTCAATGACCTGCGGTGGTAACTCAGCTCCCATTACTGTTCCATTACTTGCTTATTCTGAGTTTCCCTGATACAAGTGACAGACCCATGGTAACATTAATAATTCATTCAAATACTTTGTACTGGTACTAGATACGTGCCAAACCGGCAACCCAATACTCCATTAATGAGAAGAAAAAAAATGGCTTCACGGTTGGGTTGAACTCAGACCCACTGTACGTCACCCTGTTACCCACAATGCCGTGCCATCTCCAACTTTTACCACTGCCCTCTGGTTCATCACATATTTAACTAAAACCCACCCAGGGAAGTATCATGAGGGAGCGCAGTATCAGTGACTACACATATGACAAATACTCCTACTCATACTGTACTTTATCAGCACAATTCAAACTCTGCTCAGGATAAAACAGGTGTTGGTACTTTGTCACATTTACGTGGCCAGACCTGTAGAGGCTGAAGCTCCTGAGCAGCAATGCTAATCAAAGATGTCATTTCTCAAACCCCTGTATTTGACCTGTTCTGTGAATTTCATTAGTGACACATCAAACGGCAAGTGTTAAAATAGGAGCAGACATGTGGGCGGAGCCTGTGCTGCCCCGGAGCATGTGGAGTGACCTGCTCTGCCCAGTTAAGACACACACACACAAAAAAACACAACTGGAGGCCTATTATGGGATGCTGGGAGGTGCCCCTGGCATGTTGGGCAGGTCAGTCCTCATTCTGCAAATAGCAGCAGGTTGATTCACCTTATTTTCATTACGCTTGAAGAAAATAACAGGCATCACATGGACATAACATGTGCGAGTGCCACACTTTTGGTCCTCTGGTAGGAGAATTAAATAATAGAATTACAAATTCTATTACAATTTTAAAAAAATGTTTGGAGCTGAATTGAAAATGAAAAGTCTGTGCTGCAGCAGTGGCTACACCAGGAAAAAGATGCCAGAAATGCTCAAGGGTGTGTAGAGGGAGCAGCACGACAACAGGCTAAATGTGCTGTTGTTTACCAGCCTGAAATTAAAAAGCTATTACATCTATGTAGCAAAAGGTCACCCGCTGAAAATATTCAATGACCTTTTGGAGACTTTGAAAAAAAAAAAAAAAAAGTCACAAAAGAGCTTCAAATCGCCTCGCTGGGCCGTTTTAGGCTGGTAGAGAGAAACAGGCAAAAAGGAATGAAGACAGAGAGAGAGTGAAAGTGTGTGTGGCACGGAGAGAGCTGCAGCCTTGATCTATTTATTGATTTGAATGACTGTAAAATAGTTGTGGTCGTGCTGCACAGAACCCTTTATTATAACCACATGATTTGCTCAACTTTAATCTCACATTCATCACTTTTGCAGCTGCAATGCTGCAGCATGTGATATAGAACCATGTGCTGTAATAATCAGCGACCAAAACATCCCATAACTTCACTGCTATTAATATAAAACCCAGGGAAAAGAAAAACGGAAAAAAATATTTACACTCAAACCCCTAATGTAAGAATGGGTGTGGGACTGAAACGCAGGCCCAGAAACAAAGAAGCTTTATTTCTCCTCCACTGCAGCTTCATGATGAAGCATCTCTTCCTACGAGGAGGTGAGAAGAGTGCCAGGAAAGTAATCCTCATGTTGGACCAATCAAAGCGCTGTTAAATAAGACTTTCCAGAAACTTATTCCATCGTGTGTGAAATATGTGGACAATAAAAAGTTGGTGGTAGTTTTTTTTTTCTTTTTTTGGATGAAGGGAGGGAGAAGAGTACTGAGGTGAGAATCCACCCGACGCAGGCGTAGGTTAAACTCAACTAAATTTGACCAAGTATTTCTATTTTATTCCAGACTCCGGTCCCTGTCAGTAAAAATGGGAGACTGGAGGAAGCGAACGTACTCAACCACCAAAGCGCCGACACGATGAGTGCTCAAATAACCTGCCTTGTCAATCCTGTGCAGAACACACACTCCACTCCTCACC